GACGAACGACTGCTGAGCCTTTTGGTTCTCGGCGCTCCCCGTGCTGGTGATGCACATTTGAAACACGTGGATGAGCCCGGCCGTCATGGTGACGTGAACCATTTGGTGGTGCGGCCGGCGGAGGCCGTACCGCTGGCGGAACATGGTCAGCAGCTGGCAGACGCGCTGCGCCGCCTGGACACACTTGGAGAAGGATTGGGCGGCGTTTCGGTGCGTGGGCGAGATGGACAGTCGCGACGATTCGTCGACGGCGATGAGTGGCCGGTGCAAGAGGATGACGCATTCGTTGAAGATCAGGCTGGCGTGGTTGTTAGATCAGTGACTTATCAACGTTTGGAAAAAAAAAAAATGGGAGCTTACTGTAGTTCGAGGACGGCGGGGAGATAGATGGCTGTGCGCGATTTGGAGGACGAGTAGTCGACGCGGAGGGCCGGGGGCAGGGAACTGAGCCAATCCTGAAGGTCGGCATCAGACTTGACGACGAACTTCTCAATGTCTTCTTGCACGTCAGGGACCCCAGAGTATCTGCGTCACAACATGCATTAGCAAGGTGTGTGCCTTATTTATCCAAGCGGGGGGTGGTTGGTGGGATTCGTTGTAAACGTACAGCACTTCCGACACTCGGGCAAAGACGGCCATCAGCTTGGCCAGGTACGCGTGGACGTGCGCCGCGGCGTGGAAGTCAAAGTCCTTTGGGAAATTCATGGTGCTGTACTCGTCGGTGTAATACTCCCAGGCGTAATTGGCCGACGGCATCGGGCCTGGTATATTGTGGGCGAGACGCTTCATCAGCGAGGGCCGTCCGCTATAAGCACCCCACAGCCTGGGTATCTCGTGTAAGCTTTTCTGTCCAGCGAGTTGTAGGGGAGAGAGCGAGAGAGAGTCTTACGTGTCTATCGTGTTGGCAGACCAGAACAGGTTCTGCCGCAGCAACGCGACCTCGGCGGCGCTGCTGTTTGTGTTGTGGAACTTTGAAAAGTCCTGCGCCAGATTCAGATGTAGACCGAGATCCGACAGGATCTGCACTGCCATTCCTGTAATATTTGTGTCAGTAAAATTGCCCCCGATGACTTTCTCAGAAGAAAAGTGAGCTGACTGACCAGAATAGATCCAGCCGCGGGAGTCGCGCGCATGAGCAGCCTCGTGCGACGAGAGCACCAGCAGTGCTTGGGCGGTGGCAATGGTTGGACTATCGATTTCAATGTCCAAGAGAGCCTTTGTTCGAAAGCCGAAGAACTCGTCCGTGGGACCGTCAACATCGGGATGGATACGATCGGTGTATGCGGCGCCAATGGTGTATCTGTCATGACAGATCAGTTTTCATTCCATTCTCTAGACGCGATCTAATCTCATGGTCAGAGGAAGGAGTGTGACTCTTACATGGCATTTTCTAGGGCGGGAGAGTAGAGATTCGTATAGTGTCCCGAGCGAAATTGTTGTCGCTCCTTGAAGAAGATGGGCTTATCCACAACGTACATCAGGGCATTGTGCCATGAAAAGAACAGGTTCACCAGAGTTTCTTCGTACTCGGCATCTCCCTTCCACTGCAGGCCAGCTCGGGCGATGGCTGCCTCGCCGTGCGTCACCACCGTTCGGAGGTTGGGTCGACAGAGGGACGACGGGCCCCGATGTAGAAGATGCAGGTTGCTGGTGGCTCCGTAGTAGCGAGGCTGGCCGTCCTCAGCAATCTGTAAGCGTCCCAGGCGACTTGTGAGATTCTTCGTGATACTGTCTACATGTTCTTCATCTTGATCGTCAAAGTCATGCGATCTCACTTTGCCTCTGGCGCTCGTCACAGACGAGTCGCTTCCTGCAGCGGAGATCAGTAGTTCTGGGCTTCCCCCTGCGAACATTTCCCCCGGTGAGATTGTATCTGGAACGGGATCTCCTGGCAGAGTCAAGGGCACGTCTGGCTCGGTGTGCGTGAGTCCTAGTGAGGGGACGAGATCGAACAACGGATGGCATTCGTTGGAGAAGCAAGCTGCGCTGGAGAGGTCATTTCCATCGTCCAGGCCGATCCAAGATCCCCAATCTTGCTCTGAATCAGGTGACGGTATTGGCTCAACACTGATGGAATTCGTTACGCCAGAGGTTGAGAAGTAATTGTCTGATCCTGATTGTAGATTATCGAGAATGTCTTGATCGGGGGCTAAAGAATGGGTATAATGACGGTCCGCAGTCTCGGAGAGCCGCTGTGGCTGGACATTATTGCTCGGTAAATAAGAGGGAGTCCCGTGGCGGAGATCTTCTTGGGAGGCCTTTGATGCTGCAATGACACTCTCCAGGCGCGAGGTCATGGACATGCTACAGCAGATCAGCCTCTCAAATGTCCTTGCGCCGTCTTTGCTTTGCCAACATCTTTTTGGCAGACGGTGAGTGCAAGTAAACTCACCGACGACGATCCTCGACAAAGACGCATTCGACATTGTACAGAGTGCAATTAGAGCATCGTGGCTTATCGTCGTTACACTGTCGAGTGAGAAAAATCAGCTCCGAGTCATAAACACCTGAAGAGATACAGCTGGAGCATGTATGATTCCATACCTTCACCTTCCGCTTTCTACACGCCAGACATGCTCTGGAGATATACTTCCTCTCCGTAGGCTGCTTTCTGCTCTTCTGTTGCGACATCGAGGGGTGGCTTCAGCAAGGGCTTTGGGATGAGAAATGTAGAAGATCGTGCCCTGGAGGAAATGCGGAGTTTTTTTGGGGATTTCGGGGTCTTGGGGGGAAACTGTTGCATTATTAAGTGACCCTGGGGGGTGTGGATGCTTGCACAGGCAGGCTTGGGCGAGCCAGTGACAGTTTCCGGGGCTGGAAGGTTCTAAACTAGCGAACAACCCTGCATGGAAGAAAACGAGGACAAGAACGCGGGTGAAGAAGCGGGACAGTGAAATGGTGGGGTGGGGGGGAGGCGGATTCCCATGTGGTTGGAATGCTTGTACCGAATATAGCAAGTCTTTGTACCGAGTTATAGCATTGTCTATCGAGTACCTAAAGTAGCACGTGGATTTTGATCTACCTGGAAGCCTACTCCATCACACAGTGCTCCTCTCCACGCTGCCGGATATCGTGAAAGTCACCGTCGTTAACCACCAACGAACCGTTCATATAGCTACTTTCATCACTCACCAAAAACTTCGCCACATTTGCTTGGCCCCCCGGAAAAAAAAACCATACGGCGCAGAGAAATCTTGTGGTGTACAGGCGCGTTCTCATTCTCTTGAGTCCCTATCTTTCCCTCTTCGCCCTTACTGTACTCAATTATAGCCGCCATTCTCAGCCCGGACAGATTGCGTTCTCTCAAATACCACTAGGGCCATAGAACTTGGCACCGTTCTCCATGACCGTCGCCGCACCACATTTACTCGGTGTGTACGTTGCCAATCCTACGTTATAGAGACCCGAGAACGAGACAATGTTATCGATTGCACCGCGCTGGCCGGGGTTTGGGTTCGGGCTGGAGTCACATCTCTGGGCGTCTGTTCATTGACAAATAAGCCAAACGTGTGGTGGGTTGTCATGATTGATCATACCTGACAAACAACTCGGTCGTGACGATGCTATCTTCCTCGTCCCATATCGACGCATATATACCTGCAGAGACAGCCGCATGATCCAGTCTCCCAGTGAGCTCGAGCACCACGGCCACAAGATACTTAACCTCTGACTCTTGGGTCATGCACGGACACGGTACTTCTGAGCTATCTCATGGGCAGCCGCTGGACCTTTGACCTAGTAGCGATTCGCAAGAACGATTGATATGCCCCGACTGGCAAGTTTGTCTGCCAGAACCGGCGGCTGTCACGAGTGCTACCTACTCCGGCATACTTGTCAGTGTGTTGAAGATCCCCGTTTTCGAAGGAAAGCGCCAAAGCAATCTCTACTCGGAGGCTGGATCGACCAGCGAGAGTTGTCTCTCCTTCCGGTCTGAAACTAGTTTGACGAACCTCGTACCCCATAAGACGGTTTGGGATTGTGAAGGTGGGAAGAAAAATAAGAAAGATTCCAGAGTATTTTCTTACATGTGGAGGGGGGCGCGGAACTCCTTCTCCTGATGCCGTGGCATTTCATTGTGGATCTCTGGCCAAGTCGCTGACGGCATTCGGAAATCACGCCAAGACGAGGTACAATCACGCCCAGCGCACCCCTCTTTGGGACGAGGGTGATGCCTCCCTGTGCTCACCCCCGGCTCGCGCGAGTCAGGGTGAGCCAGGGTACGCGATCACCCGTGTCTCACTCTCAATGTGTTTGGTATGGGAGCCATAACCAACATCCCGGAAACCCACCACCGCAGATAGTCCATATAGGTGACGGACCGGCCCAGGTCTAAGACAGTCCGTAGTCAATCTCAGTTATACTCTGACCCCTACAGTTAGGATACAGGAGTGTTGTTCCACCTCACGCCGTTACAAGTGACCGTGTACCTTTACGTCAGACTGGTATTACGTTCCTACTCCATAGTGAGTAAACCCCTTGAACCGCAGCATCACCTCACGTGGAGCGATTCGTAACACCCAGGAGGAATGTATTGTATTCTCAAGTTCACAGTGCTTCAGCATTTTCTGTATGACTGTCCCTCTACCCTAGATGAGAACTTCGCTGTTTATATGTACCAGTCTTATTACACTTAGCGGCCAATACACCGTGCAGTGCCGTGGAGCTGTTCCAGAGTGAGAATCGATGGAAAAGAACAAGAGAATAACCTGGGAGACCATGCAATGAAACCACCGTATGCGCCGTGCCGGCGAGGCTGCGCGAGGCTGAGCATCGGTATGGAGGGTGACGTAGATAGGTGAATCGGAGCGTCGTAGTCAGGAACATGAATGATGAAATCTGCTTGAGAAAACTGGCGGCCCAGCTTCCAACTGCCCTGGCGTCTAAGGTGTTGTTTTGAGTGCCTTCTCGACACCTCTCTGAATTGGGGTTAGGGCCTTGTTTGTGGCTTTTAGCTGTCTTAGAGACTCGTTCAGTTCAACCCTCTCTACAAGTGACAGTACTTACAACGATAAGACAATCAGCAACAATACCGTGAAATGATTCTTCTGGTTTTGTAGTTTGGTAATTCTCAGAAGCATGTCTTTCTCTTTCCACCACCACTCAAGCCGCTTCCATGCCGAAATGCTCGGGAGAGTCGCACTAGAAGGATCGAGGCTGCGCGGCACACTTTGACCCGTTCCGTGACATTCGCTAGTATGAGGAATGGGGTTGATTGTCGGGTCTGCAAAGTCAAAGGCCATGAATTTCTCAACCGTGCTGTTAAACTCCTGCTGCAGATCTTTTAGAGACGAGTTGATTGGGTCCCGGACCGGCAAAAAAGCCCCATCAGCCTCGATGTTCATCTGTTCAAAGAGGTCCTTCATCTGCACTATTTGCTCTCTACTCTCCCGCAGGATGCCTTTGTAGTATTCCACGTCTTCATTTGCATGGTACATCGCAGCCATGACGGCCACACAAGATGCAAATAGGCCGAGAGCAAACGTCAGTATGCCAAATATATCGGCGGTCGTGGAGAGGGCGCTTTCGCTATCCTCCGGAGGAACGTCAGACATATTCCTTGCGTGCTTTCAATGAAGTTTGACAACTGAGGAGTTTGAACTGGTTAGCTAGGCAACAGGATTGATATACGAGCACACCCCGCTTTCAAAAGTCAGTGCGTCGTAAGCGGTCTGAAAATGGTCGTGTGCATGGATGCGCTGGCATCTACTGGAGGATGATAAATGCCTTCGTACCGCTGTTTGTACCAATCATTCTAGCATGCCCGCTTATTTAGCATGACTATTATTAACCCCGACGACCCCAGCAATGAAGCCGGGGCGAGGTAAATACGGCAACCTCCTTGAGAATTGCATCCTGGTATGGTATATATGGCATGTTATATGCCTCATAAAGTTTCGCTGGTTACATATTCCACAATTCACTCTACTCGCCTTTTCCGATAGCCTTCTTCTACAACTTAAAGGCCTTATAGGGGTTGTATAACCACCTGAATTTCGGCCAGTGAAGGTTGTCACCTCTATACCTGTCGACATGACTGCTCCTCGACATTGTTCCCTTTTGCTATCAGAGCAGCCCCCAAATTTGACAAGGGCAATTATAATTGGAGATTCATTAGAGATCCAATTCTTTTACGCAGTCCGTGTCCAAGACGATACCCTTCCTCGATACCAACATGTCACGGAAGACCCGATCCGTAAGGGTTTCATCCCATTGCATTACCAACAGAAGGAGAACGAATTCATCATGGGACTCGAGGGTTCGTTAGATTCTACCCCACTGACTTCACCTCCCCATTCCAGGATGGACTGACAGCCGAGTCAGACTGGAGCGCAATGTCCATTTTTTCCAGGCGGTTAATGCCATTGGATCATCATTTTCGGGCAGAAATCTATGTGGGTGGTGTGAATGTTGCCTGCCCGCGACCTGGCGTGAATGCGCAAAGTCACTTCATCTTGCCCGATCAAAATTGGATCGATGGCGTCTCGAATGATCAAAACACTGTCCGACAATTTGTTGCTCTCGGTTCAGAAGCCAATGCGTTAGTCCCCTCCCACTCTCAGTGTGCTTCTCTGGTGTTCCGCAGCAGTGAGTTACTAACGGCTGATGCATGGAAGCAATTCTATTGAACAAGAAGTGAGGGATAGATGCTCGAAAATTGGTGGCCGCATTGAGATCAAACTCATTGCTACAAAGTTGTAGGTTACCTAAGATTGATGAGCTGGTGGTGGATCTTCGTACTAAACCTGTCAAGGTTCCGCCAACTCGAGGCCCTTGATGAGATCCCAATCCCACCCGAGACTGGACAGGAATACCAGATCTTTGTGAAAACCCTTACTGGCCGCACGGTCACTGTCCGAGTTTTATCGTCATATACTCTCCTGCAACTCATGGCTCTCATCCACAGGGAAGAAGGCACCCCACCAAGGCACCAAATTCTCCTTTTTAATTCGAAATACCTCGCATATGGTACGCGAACATCACCATAAGTCTAATAACTTTCAAATTCTAACACAATAATCAGAGCAAAGTATTTCCGATTTGGAGAAAACCCTCGAATTCTACCAAATTAAAAAGGTGAAACTCGATCAACAAACCCATACCAGCAAAGCGCATACATTCTAACACTTTTCCAGGAGTCGACTCTATCTCTCCGGATCAGAGCGCGCGGAGGAGGCCCTGGCGAAGCCAAAGGACCTAGAGAACCGGCTGTTTACCCTGGCGGTCTCATCAGACAACAAGTCAAGCTCGACACCACGGCAGAGGAGCAATGGAGCACCGAACCGCTGGTCGTCTTGAATTTTCGAGTCGTCACCATCGCCGACTTCAACCGCGATGCCCAGACAAGCCTGCCAGTTGTCCGGGGTCCGTCCATCGCGGATATGAGAAATGTTTTGACCTCACCCAGACTCTACCCGGAGTCTCCGGACGCCATACGCTCCATCGCCATGACTGGTGCCCCCCGTGGTACAGCCGGCGCAGCCCCAGCCCGAGGCTCCACGCCCACGGCGTCCGCACCCGGAGAGACAGAGCATGACACTCGGCGCTCGTGGCGGTACACTTCCAGGAGGCACGCAGCAACCACAGAGAAAAAGCCAAGGCTACCGTGGCGGCGGCCATGAAGTTCAACACTGGGTGCGTGGCGCGGTCTAAGGAAAGGGGAGGGGGTTGGACGGGCACCACACAGGCAACAGGCACCGTGACTTGGGCTTCTAGTCTTGAGTGGAGGTCACTATCTAGTTTTCACGTTCTCAACCCTTAGCCCTCGTGCCAGACGAATTACCATCCTGTTTTCTTGGTCAAACCAAACTCCTTTGTAGAAGAGTTTCCGTACGTCGTAGAACTACAGTAGGTTACCAAAAGTCACCGGACTAGTCCCTTGGAACGCCTCCTGATACTACCCCCACATACACTTGATATTTTTTTCTATGTATTTACCATAGTAGAATAGTACAGTTAGTATAAATCAATGGCTCAAGAGATGCACTTCCAGAATATCGCATCTTCTAGATTAAAACCGCGTATACCAGCCCTTAGCCTCAATAACTGCGTTAACTCTCTCGTCCATTGATATTAGGAATGCCTTATTGGAGATAGGCAGTACTCAGCGATAGATCGATTCCGTAGTAATAAGTATCCTTTTACGTATAGTAGTGACAATGCTTTCCTCCTTCGGTTTGCGAGTGGCCAGCAGTGGTTTAGGCCTGTCCGGTTCGGTGTCTTCCCAAGTGGCCTTTCAAGCCCTTTTACTGAAGGCCGCGTAAGAAGATGCTTATCCACTCTGAGTAGCATGCTCCTCTTGTGCGGCTCACTTCGGCTTCCTACTCTGTTCGTGATAATTGACTTAATGGCATTCTTGATCTTTTTCTTGTCTAGACTAGTCCAGGCCCTTGTAATAGCGTTTACAAAGCGATTGAGGACCTCATATAAGTCTCCTACTATATAGCGAAGGCCTAGATCGATGGCATTACCTAGGCATTTGAGTTCAAACTAGAGGTTTTCGATGGTAAGCGTGTGTAAAAGCGGCGCCCGCTGGGTGAGAGGCGAGGGGAGCTCGACGTCGATGGAACTTCTCTTATGTCGCCATGTGCTTGTATTAGTGGGACGGACCAGACAGATTTAGGCCGACCACTCCAATCAACGCGCGAAGCGGCACGATTGAAATGCTGACAACTCACGAGGGCATTCATTCTAGATTCCATGAATTATAGGTGGTAGATTCGCGAGGGCTGCTTGCTCGCTCTAGCATCATACCCGACAGCCATCATGCAACAAAGCTCGGCTCCCCGAGCCCCTATCATCCCCCCCAGCTCCTAACTCTCCTTGAATTTCCTCTTCACGCTGGCGTGTCAGTCCCGCAGCTTGCTAACTTTGGGAACCTCTTTCGTCTCTTCGACTTCGGCATCATGCGCAATGACAAGATTTTCCAAAGTCTCTGCCGCGATTTCGTCCCCGAACAGCCCGGCGATCTCTTCTAGCGGTTTGCCTTTGGTTTCCTTGGCCAACCAGAGGAACACGGCCAGCGAAGTGACGCCCACGGCGATGAAGACGAGGTAGAATTTCCATCCGATCGACACAAAGGCATAGAGGGACGCTCTGTCCAAAAAGAAAACAAACATCAGCTCAACTCTCTCATTGTCCCACAAAAGTTCCACAGAGACTTACTCGACGTAGATGGTGTCGATGAAGTAGATGCTCGCCACTCCAAGAGCTGAACCCTTGGCTCTGAGATGAGCCGGCCACATCTCGGAAACATAAGTGTAGCTTGCGCCTTCGGCAAACATGCAGTATCCCAATTCGAAAATGTAGAACATGGCCACGACGGCCTGCTGGGGTGCTTCATGCGAGGTTCCCGCATATTTGGCGATCAGGGGAGTGACCACCACAATCAGCACAATCTGAATTGCCGTTCCGATGGCGAGGAGTGGTACACGACCAACGCGGTCGATGAGCAGGGTTCCGAGGATCGCGGTCAAGGCTCCAAAGGTAACGTAACCTGCAGTGATGCACAGCTGACCTACTGTGTTGAATCCAAGGCTGGCGTAGATGGTCGGACCATAGCTGGCGATAACAACAATACCAGCCGACTATTTATCGTCAGTTTAACAATCAACGATGCTGCAGACGACAGACCGGGCCAACATACCTGACTCATGGACTGGGTGATGATGGTGAGGATAAAGCGCCTGCGGTACCGTTTCGACATGATCAACTCCCACCAACCCATGGCATTTCGATGTTCAAACGAGATCTGATCCACCATCTGCTTGACTTCGAGTTCGGCGAACTCGTGGCCCGCTTCGTCATGATGGCCGTGCAGTTTGGAGATGACCGCGCGAGCTTCGTCGGTGCGATCCTGCATCACCAACCATCTGGGCGATTCCGGAATCAGAGGCAGGAGGAAGATGGTCAGGAATGATGGGACGGTGCAGATGGCAATGGGAATTCGCCACTGGACGCCGCTGGCCTGCACAAAGTAAAAGGCCACACCGAGCCAGTTGGCGAAAACATAGCCGAGAGAGATCATGACTGCGACAAGGCCGACCATGAGGCCTCGATACCGAGGCGGCGCGAGCTCGCTTTGAAGTAGTGACCCGACAGACATGTATGCTCCAGACGCAAATCCAGAGCAACCCCTTGAATGGCCGACAAAAATGATCAGTTTTCCCATCCGACGCACAGAGCATCCCGTCAAGGAGGGGCCCTCACCTGAAAATGATCAACATGGCAATATGGACGCTTCCAGCTACCAGGGCCGTGCTGACAATGGAGATGATGGCCGAGATGAGCACCGTCTTTTTGCGCCCGATCTTGTCGGACGCGTAGCTGGCCCAGGCACAGCCGAACAGAGCGCACGCGAAGAAGACGCCGAGAATCGCCCCGATCAACGGCGTGTTGGATTTTGTCTGCTCCAGGAACCCAAAGTAGACGAGAAAGCTCGGCTGGCCCAAGGTCGTGTTGATCATGCCGTTGACCATGCCCGTGGCCAGCGAGGTGCACGAGACGCAGAGGACAATGCCATAGTTGTAGAAACTGAATTTCTCCCTGGCTTTGCTAAGATGCATGAGATGCTCGTCATGATGTGGTGACAATTCCTCCTTTGGAACCGTCATTTTGGGGGGAAATGGTTCAGACAATGATGTCCTCAACACGGACATGTGTTGGTTTGCGGGGATGATGAAGATTATGAGGAAGTAGAGGGATGGGAGGTCGGGATGAAAATCGAGGCCTGCTGGAGTGATATTTCTTGGGACCAAACTTCCAATCTATGATACTAGTGCAATGCTCCCCTGACTCCACAGCACATAATACCACAGAAGTCCGGGGCCACGCGGGGAAGCCCACGTGTGTGGCCCAACAATCTGGCAGAATTATCATTGTACCAAAGTCCACAAAAGTGTCGAGTCGGAGTTTCGAAGTGGTTGATCCAGGCACTCCCGAGTCTCGGGTGGAGACAGACCCACTCTTATATGTGTGTAAACCGGAGTTTTCACGCACTAGCCGTCAAGTTGTTTATCTGGATTAGGAAGTCGGAGTAGTGTCCAAAGGTACCGGAACAGCGAGCCTTGTATAGATGACCATAGAGGGCTCTCAAACAGAAAGTTAGCTATATCATTTCGTTGAGGCATATGCTGGTGTAAGCAGCGGTAACCTGTCACTGACATAGTACCTTTTACAAAGTATTTTCCAACAGGGTCTATACAACGTGCTCAGCGCAATATAGACACCAGATTGAGGTGCGGCATCGAAACTGGTCTCCGCTGACCCTCAATTGGGTCTCTCACCACCATGGTCGCGTCTCAAGACAACGACAAGGCAAAACAGACATCAGCGAATGCCACCAGCCATCTTGCCGAAAAGTATGGCTGGAAGAACACAAACGAGGCAGGCTACACCATCAACGAAGTCCCCTCGGGACTGTTGCGCCCTGTCAAGATAGTATGTCTGGGTGCTGGTGCGTCTGGGATCAATCTGGCCAAGCTCGTACAAGATCAAATGGAGGATGTCGAACTGCAAATCTACGACAAGAACTCTGAGGTCGGGGGCACTTGGTGGGAGAATCGCTATCCGTACGTTGGATCATAACAGGGGACTATCGTCGTGGGCCCATGGATCGAGACTGACACGACATAGCGGCTGTGCTTGTGACATTCCTTCTGCAAGCTATCAGTTCACCTGGGAGCCACATATCTGGTCTCAGTACTATGCGGAGAGCCCGGAGATTTTTGACTATTTCAAAGGTATCGTCGTCAAGTACGGGCTGTCAAAGTACATCAAGCTGCGGCACCGGGTGGACCACGCCGAATGGGACGAGGATGAAGGTCACTGGAACATCACCATCACAGACTTGGAGTCTGGAGACCAGTTCACCGAGTCGTGCGACATCTTCATCAATGCCGGCGGCCCTCTCAAGTGTGTTCCACCAATGTTTCCCCCGTTATTCAAAGTTTCCCCACTAACTGACATGATCTAGCTTCTGGGAGTGGCCCAAGATAAATGGCCTCAAAAATTTCAAAGGAGTGCTTGTCCATTCTGCGGCGTATCCGGAAGGGCTCGATCTGAATGGCAAGCGTGTCGCCGTGGTAGGTATCGGATCAAGTGGTGTTCAAATCACCGCCAAAATCCAGAGTCAAGTGGAAAAGCTGTATACGTGGATCAGTACACCTACATGGATGACCCCGTCCTTTGCCTCGAAATACTCGGGTGTGGGTGGAGGCAACTTCAAATGTAAGTCTATAGTCCTTGAATTCATTTTACCATCAAGAACAGCTACTAACCCATCCAAAGATTCTGAGGAGCAGAAGAGGCGGTTCAGGGAAGAGCCGGGCTACTATCTCAAGTACTGCAAAATGGTGGAGACGCAGCTGCAAGAAGGGTTCCTAGCATTCCACCACAATACTCCTGAAGCGCAAGGTCTGGAAAAGGTAATATAGATCGACGCCCGCCCCATGCTGGGTAAGTACTCTACGGATCACTGATCGATTTCTCGGCAGATGGCAAGACAGGAAATGATGGAGAAACTAAAGGGAAGAGACGACCTGATCGAGAAACTCATTCCCAAAGATTTCCCCGTCGGATGCAAACGACCAACGTGAGTCTCCAGTACATGTGGACACATTTT